TATCGCAGTATCAAAACTAGATTTCATTCCACTCTAAATTATTTGTGAGAAGCGCAGCAACATGGAAAAGCCAGAAGTCGCGATCAAGTGGAATCTCAATGTGAACGGATTGGAGGAACAAGTCTGGCGATACAGGAAATACAAACTATTTCCACCTTTCCTCCAAAAGAAACCTCCTCGGAAAGATCTCGCGAGAGATGAGATATTAGAGTACGAGAAACCAGCGAGAGAACCGATCGCGTTTGTGGAAGCAGACGCGGCCGAGGATATCAGCGTGTGCGACCACGATTTCTTTCGATCGAGTCTTGATCTTCAAGATAACAGGGGAAGACCTTCCGTTCGATGTACGGATGACTGTAGAACGATCGGGTTGATATGCGAGAATTTACGAATATGCGACAGTCTGCCCGAGGAAGCACTGTTTATTCTAGGTTATGCATCGTACATATCGAAAATTTGAATTTATTTACAATCGAGAAACGCCGGCTCGCGTTGTCCTCTGTGTTCATACCGAATCCCTTGCAATTTTTCAAACGTTCCTTTTGTTTTCGTTTCGAATAAGCGATGCTGGGATGTTTTATTACTAGGATTATTTGTCTTCGTTGCACATGCATCGTTCAGTTCACTTCACTCGTGAATGAAATGTTCAATAATATTTCTTTACTTGTAAACTGAATTTAGTAGTCTCAAGATTATTTCTAAAGGAATTTATTTTATTTTATTATTATTATTTTATGAGAAAAAATATCGTTCTTCTTGAAATTTAAATTGATGCATCGTACATTGAATTTATATATACTACAATTAAAAAGCTCTGGGTTCATACCGAATCTCTTGTAACTTTTCAAATATTTCTTTTTTTTTTTTTTGAAAACTTATCGTTCGAAAAAGCGAGGTATTGTATTTTATTAATAGGATTCTTTGTGTCCGTTGTACATGCATCGTTGAGCTGATTTGACTTGCGAATGAAAAGTTCATGTATTTGTTTACAATATATCTTTAGTTCGTTGTTATTTGTAAGTGGGGGTTTGATATTTCCGAGGAACATTTCATGAGAAAAAAATTCTTTGAAGAAGAGAGAATTTAACATTAGACATATTACAAATTAATTGCCTCTTTCTTATTTTGTTGTAGTAATTATTTTATTATAGATTCTATACAAATATTCTTTCCTTACGTGCAGAATAATTTCAAACGGATAAAAGGCACTACCTTGATGATTATACGATATCTAAATAAAATTTCTAAATTTCATTCGAAAGAACAATTGACAAGCTCGGTGCATTATTTGGAAAATGAAAAGATCAATTTCCAAGACTCTAATCTCGAGGGCCACTCAAAGTTCTATTCGATTCGATAAAAATCCGCCGTGAAATATTATCCTCGTTCGAGCAACAATCTGTAACATCTGCTCGTAGATTTAAATCCAGATGTCAACTAAAAAAATGGAAAAAATACGCAAAAGAAAATCGCGAAGTCAACGCGGAGACTCATCAATCTTCATATCCAACTGTGCGTGCAACGTACGCGCACGAAATTACACACGGTAATTATACACGAGAAACACATTAAAAAAAAAAAAAA